TATAGAAATATAGAAATATAGAAATATATATATATAACCTTCACGCTTGGCCTGTTTGACTTTATTCCTGGGCGGGGGTGGGACTATCCGTCGCACCAGCGCGGCGATGTGTCGTATCATCTGCGAATGGCCTACGCGTGCGGCCACGTGCATGATGGTCTGTCTATTTTTAGTACGAGTTCGCAAGTCTACGCCGAACTCTACCAATAGGTCTATGATCTCCAACTGCTGCGCTGCATCAGATTGGCTCGGTTTATCGGGATTCGGATTGGGATTGGGGTTGGCGGTGGTATCTAAGGAAACAGGAATGGGTCTGTTGATTTTAGATGATTTTTCGGTGGGTTTGTTGTCTCGCACGACAATTGCCTTTGAGGATCCATAAGACATATTTTAGGGTTTAGAATTTGGGGTTTAAAGTTAGGGGTTTTATTCAGATTAGCGGTGGTATCTCATGACACAGAAACAGGTCTATTGATCGGATCGGCCTTTTGGTGAGATTTATAGCGTAGCACGACAGCGATAATTCGGAATGAATTGGACCCAATAAAAGACGACAAAGAAGATTATATTATATAAAAAGTATATGATAGACATAAAGTAGACGTTCACACGTCACAGATGAAAAAGATAATACGATATATAAAGTATATGGTAGTCATAAAGTGAACATTAAACCGTCACAGATGAAAAACATAATAAAATAATACAATATATAAAGTATATGATCATAAAGTGAACATTAAACCTTAACAGATGAAAAATATAGCACAATATATAAAGCATAAGATGGTCATAAAGTAAACCTTAAACCGTCACAAATGAACACGCCCCTTTATAAAAAAGTATACGATTGACATAAAGTAAACGTTAAACCGATACATATGAAAAAAATTCTAAGATATATTACATGAACATAAAGTAAGCTTTAAACCGTAACGAATGAAGATTATACCATTTACAAAGCATATATATATATATATATATATATATATATATGTGTGTGTGTGTGTGTGT